TTTGCGGCGAACGTTTCTATTAGTGGAAGTTTTGAGGTCGTGGCGGTGTGTGATACGCGGCTTTGAATTCGTCGGTGAGTGCATCGGGGTTGTATCGCCGTTAAATATACGCGTAAACGTAGTGACAGGTATAGCGATTCGGCGTACACGAACCGGCAGATCTCTGGCGTTCGACTGGAACTTTCAAACTGTCGGGGATATCGAGTTCTGCTTTACTTCCAATTTCTTCGTATTTTAGTTGGTTCGGATCGGTTCGCGTCCCGTCTTGCAGACGACGCGCACGCCATTCTGCCGTGATGTATAATACATTCTCCAGGCAGAGGCGCGAAGAAATATTTAACAGCTATACGCGCGGCGCATCGTGCGCGTTTCGATTTCTCGGCTGACGTTTGCTTGATCGTTACTACTCGAGAGAGCGGCAGATTCCACCGGCGTCTCTCGAGTCGGCGGAGTTTGAACATTCGTTCCTTCGATGCTCCGCGGGGAATTCCCAAAAATGTTTTCCGAGCGACCCTTGTTTTTCTTCGCGTTTTTGTGTCTGAACGCGACTGTCCCGAGGGCAGACGCAAATAAATCGAGCGTTCCACGGTAGAAGCATTTTTTTTCAAAATCTCTGTCCTTTTTGCACTCCACTCTCTTTTACTCTCTCTCTCTCTCTGTCGCGCGCTATCATAAATTCTTCTGTTATAGGCCGCACTGATTATCATCAATTTCTCGTTGCCCGGCAGAACAGAAGCGAATAAACGGTAAAAGATAACCGAGAAGTATAAATGGGTTATTCGGCGTGGGCAAAGAAATTTCTTGAACCCTCCCGTTTTCTTCTTACTTACCACTTAACGTTCACAGTTACTCCCTCGGTCTCCCAGAACCATTTTACTTCGCGAAGCAAAGTTCTTTCCCGCTGAAAGTTGCGCAATACCTCACGCAAGATCTTGAAATACGATTCTAAATTGAACCGGCGCGGATTTCAAGACGCTCAAAGTTCTAATTGTTAAGGGAAATAACTGCGCAAGCCACGTGAAACGCGGCCCCGCTATCTCGGAGCGTGCATCGCATTCCGCGTTACATTCCCGGCGACGGGGGGAAATGCCCTAAATCTCGGATTATCGTGTTTAATAGACAAACGAACAGGCAAATTAATCGCGCGCCGCGACTGGACGCGACACATCGACATTTACCCGCGACACGGACGACCGTGCGAGTTCGGTCTGTCTTTGTACAGGCTTATTCATCATTCTAGATAATATTCCGTGAACGTTATCTATTCTATCCGCGGTCGTCCGATAGAATCACGCGCGCGATTCCCGCCGGGAACATCGGAAGCGTTATACGAACACATCCGGCCGTGATGCTGAAGGAGAATAATTAAAGAAGAGTGCGCCGATCGATCATTAAGAAGAAATTAATGATCCTCAATTAAGGTCATGAAACAAGAGATGCTTGTCCCGGGTGTTTCATTCGTGTGTTCCATACAACGTCCGCGCCTCCGTCGTGATTCCATTGTTTCCCCGAAATATACACACGCTCGCCGAACAGACGAACGAGAAGCGAAAATGCGACCGGCGCAGAATTCGAATATCGATCGAAAGAATTTAGACAGTTGGTCGTTTTTCAAGGGATGAAATATAAACCAACCGATTAACGGAGCTCGATGTACGCTATTTAATAATTCATCGGAGAATCGAAATGCATATGGATATACGGATACCTATTCCTGAACAGATATCACGCTCGAGCGCGGCAGGGACGGTCTGCAAATATGTATGCAGTTCGAATAAGGTCGATTTTCGCGGCGTCGATGTTAGATTAATAATTCCACGCTCCGTCTGGGGTCGACGGACTCGATGATAAAACTAGGGGGCATATTACACGGAATTCATGCGCCACGAGCTGGCTGGAGGGTTGCCGCTGCGTATCCCTTCGGCTTTCCCTATTCAAACGCGTCGTCACGACGAAGTTTCGCGTGCGGATAACAAAGGTGCTCGCATTCGACCGCCGCGTCGTGTCTTTTTTTTTCCTCTCTTCTTTTTCCTTTGTTTTCCCCCTATCAAAATTCATACCGTCGAATCGTTACGCTCCCGAATAAATAACGGGAAAGCCGGTCCGCGATGCAAACAGAGACACGCGGTCGCGCTATACAAATATAACCGACCGGCTAAAATCCATCTCCGGTGTTGTGCGCTCTCGAATCGATAAAAAAACCGCAGATAGTCGCATGAAACTCGGCTGAAACGAATATTCCAATTGGCCCTCCATGAGTCTTGGTCAGCAAAGACAAACGAGTGTTTGAACAGTCGTCAACCATCCTTTAGCCCAGTTGGCGACGCGCCAAACACGCCTCGGAGAAAGAAAGAGAGTGCCAAAAATACCCTCGGATAGGTGCTTCGAGTATCGTTAACGAGCAATTATTTCCCTTTTCTGCCACGGAAATGCTCGGTGCGTTCGCGACGAGAAGGTCGCGAACCCGCAGCCCCGTTTCTCCGCGTCTTTTCTCTTTCACCGGCGCGGTGTATAGCGATACACGCCGGCTGGGAAAATTCAGTCCAGCCCGCGAGAGTAGATTATGCGAGAGTTCGAGTAAATCCGTAGTTCCCTCGTTACGTAAAATCGTGACGCGCATTGTTGTACCGCCAAGAAACATCGGCCGAACTCTTTATCGTACCGCGACGCGAACGTTCCACCCTCTCGATTATTTTATGCGAAACGGGGAAAAACGTAACGGTTATCGTTCTCGGGGAGCGACGGAGTTTGAAGAGAGAACGCTCCGTAGTAATTGATGGAACGCCAAGATCGAGAGTAATAGCATAATTTCAGGATCGTCGCTTCCTCTCCGAGCGACGAGACGTCGCACTATAACGACAAGATCGTCTCGCGAGTGCGGTAAACAAGCAAGTGCTCGATCACCACTCCAAGTTACTTGAACTGATGCAAACAGGATTCTGCATTCGATCAGGCTAATCGAGTTTGACGGTGTACTCGGATAACGCGGGGGATTAGTCGGAGGAAATTGTACGAAACGTTTCGGATAATTGCTGGGAAATTTCCTTGGTCCACCGGCGAACCGAAAGCAACGCGTGCCAGCGAAACGAAACTAATTTCGATTACAGCCCACGGTTTAGGGCGAAGCCTCCTCGGTTTAATCGCCTTAACGTCCGAATGGACCAAGTGTTCCTTCAAAATTAATTCCTCGCGGGACGATAAGACGACGCGTTACGCAAGTGTCCCGGATACTCGGAACGTCTCTTCCGCGGCGCGAGTCGGCTGTCGGGCTGCATATTATAAATGAACCGGTCCAAAGTAAATACTTCCTACTTAAACTTCGCGATTAAATCGAAATCTACCTCCACCGCCGGAGATTATGGTCAGGCCGGCAGGAATGCAATTTTGTCAGCGTCTCGGAGGAGGGGAAAAAGTACGATTCCATTACTTTCCAAGGACGTAACGTTCCTGTAATTATTTTACGACGTCGACGGCGAAGACGACTACGACGGAGACGACGACTATCTGTAGCCCCTTTCCCGTAATTAGTTTTCCTTGGGTTTTTGGTCTGGAGTTTGTATTGGTATCGGTGGACTCTTAACTTCCTATCCGTCTGTTTAAGTCTCGCCCGAGACCGGCTCGTTTGAAAGTACCCGAGAAGACGAGGTCGAACGCGATGGCTGACCGAAAAAAATTGCTCGGTGTCGTTGATCAAATAGGTGGACGAGGGTTGAATTGAATAGACGCGGAGAGCTTCTCGGTTCGTTAAACGCTCACGTTTTCCACGAATGCCTACGTTTGTATGCGATCGCCCACTGGCCGCATTTTCCCGTCCCGCGTCTCGTTTTTATCGCGAATCAGAAGAGGAGAGGGATTTCGACGATACGTTTGCGACTGTTCAGATTACGGTCTTTCTTCTTAGAGAGCCGTTTGGCTCCGGGTATACGGATCCCCGGCAGCAAGGGAAAGCTCCAAGATAACTAAGTTGCCGGTCCCTAAGGAAGACACGAAGATTGCCGGCATTGTTGCTAACGAAACGGCGATCTCTTTCGAACGTTCTTTTCAATGTTTCGCGGAACGCCGTCAAAGAACGCGAAGCCAATCTCCGACGAAACTCGGGATCCTCGGGCCGCGGTATTCAACTAGTTTCCACGTTCGGCACCGAAGCAATTCGGTTTCGCGCGCTGTTAACACAGCTAGCCACAATATCGGTACACGAATTAACGCGACAACATGGACGGTCGCTGGGCGCGTATCGAGAGATGCTCGGTATTAATTTGCAGCTTGATCGAGCGACTGGTAAATAGCGACACGCGTGACGCGTGTGACGCACCGAATCGTGTTAGGCGTCGTGTCACGGAAGTGGCACCGCGAAGCCAAACATATCTACGAGGGGTTACACGCTCCCGCAACTCGACGCGCGGAGACGTCGAGTGCGAGACTCTCCCTTCATCCCTTGAAATTCTGAAAATCTTCCTCCGAGTAATAGAATCGTTTCGACACTCTCGACGGATAGATTGATCTCGAAGGCGGGCAGACGCGGAGAAATAATCGATCGCGAATCCTGTTCCCCCCACCCGTGAACTCTGGGATTTACCCTAGCCTTTTTATATTGATAAATCGTCTGGCTCTCGGCTGACGACGCGCAAACGAGGGTCGCCGTCGAATGTAGGGATCGAGGCTAATCGAAGGACTCGAACGTTATACGGGATTCGTTCTTTTGCACCTCCGGAAAGTTTACGGGAATAGGTTGACCGGTTCTGCGGCGTGACCGGAATTTTATCGGCGATATTTTGTTTTATTTATGCCCGCGGCGAATCCACAGACTCGGAAAGTTTATTCTCGATTAGCTCTCTCTCTCTCTCTCTCCGCGCTTTTGAACCCTCGACGAGAATTAACCGTTTACACTCGGACGAACGGTCGAAGCGGCGAATTAATCGGCTATTAAACGCCGTTTCCCCGACCCCCCATTTTCAATCTAAGAAATTAATTAAATGCTTTTCGCAGTCGATAATACTTACGGGTTCCATCGAAGCGGGTCGCGATCGTATCTAAGAACGTATTTTGTGGGGCGAGGAGGCCCTTCCTGACCGGCATTGGGGCCGCCCCGCCGCGCTGTCAGGCGCTGCAATCTGGAAAAATCGACCAAAATATCCTATCAATTTCGCTGTTAGGTTTTAAGGCAATTTTCGCGTTACGCGTTCCGCGCAGATTTCAAGCACAAGTACGTTCCGAACGAAGAGCTATAAAGCCTCCGCGAAGCGCGGCTTTATAAACCTGCAAATTTATGCATCGAGAAAAAGGCTAAGTATCCGATAGGTAGGTCAGTGGTCCGATGAAAATAAAGGATTGCGTGCAGCACAGCGGTAGCGGTGATAGATGATTACCGACTAAGCAACACCGAACGCCACTATTTTTAGCTGTAACCGGCGTTTTTATTTAACAGGCTCGTAAAATAATCGGGAACTCCGAGCGTATCGTTCCGCGTAATTCTTCGGGCAGGCAGGGGAACGCGTTTATGGTAACACGAGTCCGTTCGGCAGCCTCCGACTCGGCGATATTCATAGCTTTTCATTATTGGACAGTTCTATTGTTATTCGCGTTGTTCAATCGTATTCTTGATTCCTGGAATTAATCCAACCGAAGTTACAGTTTTCTTTCATTCAAGGTATTCTCGGACAGCCCGGGCTATTCTACGTTATAATTGAATGTCCTTCTCCGACGTAACCCTCCGCATCGTTTTTCGATTGCGATGTCTTCGGGAACGTCGCGTCGCGCGTTATAATATCATTAACCGTTCGTCTCGCGAACTCCATTCACGGATTAATGGGAAAAGCTGGGCTATTTTCGACGTAAAGGAATAGTGCTGCATAACAGCGAAACGTGTTTTTATATTAACAAATTATTTATACCCGTGCAAAAATACTACGGCAACCTGAAAAAGGAAAATCCCCGAGCGAATGAAATATTAAAACGGACCGAACGTATTGAACAGAGGGGGATGGAATTAAATATTCGACTCGGTTATCCCGCTTTGCGCCCTATCCGTTTGTAAAACATTCATTTCACGTATAACTAAATCGAATTACGGGTTCATTTATAACCGCTGCTGAAGCCTACAACGAAATTGAGGCGTTCGTTCCTCGGTTTCCAAACACGAGGGTCGTTCGTACGTGCACTTTACCATCTCGTACACGTAAGACGAATCTGCACCGCTGTGTAGGGATTCGAGCAATGTAACAGGTGTGAAGAGGGGATACCATACAAGATACAATATATATTTCCAGCTTATCCTTCGCGGAACCGTTTGCCAAGTGATATCATTCTTGTGCACTCGCGCCAGAAAAATGAATTACGCTATAGACTCTTTCTTTCCACCTCTGTCCTCCTAAGTACACGTTTCCGTCATCGTTAAATCGTCGCTCGCCGAACGGACAGTGTCGCGAAACTTCCCTTATCGGCGTGCATCGCGGCGGCGAGCGCGGTGTCGCGAAGCAAACCGTTGCCGTTTCGTTCCTTTTTTTTCCGGAGCGGCAACTATTTAGGGATTCCGATGGAAAGCGCGTTGACCGTGATAAGATGCATGCTGGATGTCGCGCATTACTCGGTGACGGGGCATGTGGGTCGTTCAGGCGGTGATTTCATTCAGGCGCATGGATTTTTGCAGTTTGTCAACGGGGATCCCGACGAAGCGGTTAATACGATCGGCGGAGGAAGGTTTACAGACCTTCTCGAGAAAAAAGTAGCGGCTCAGTGGCTGAGCATGCTAGCCGTCGTCGGGAACATTACTCCTAGTTCGGTATCCTTTGGTTTCGATGTTGCACTGAATTTCGCACTGAACACGAGCCGAGCAAATGCGAATCGCGCGTTCGTTCGCGGTTCCGATAGATGCGAGGCGCTTATCGCGACACTTGCGAGAGGGAAACGGGAGACACGCGGAACGCTCGCTGGTACTCGCGTAACTGACCGAGCCGAGGGGAGAGATTCTCTCTATCCTGATGGCCCGGGCTCCTGGCTGACTTGCGCTCCGCGCACCAAGGCGCAACATGTGGTAAAGCGTTGAAGGTATACTCCAACACAGCGAGCCGTGCCTGTACGTGCAACCCTGTACGTGGGTGTACACTGATAAGTACACGAGCGCGAAACTGGTGTAACCTGCATACGCACGCGCGCTGATTATTCCCAAACGCGTGTGTACCGCCAGCCATAAAACAGGGTCAAGACACCCAGCGAGGATCAAATGTACTAAGCCACACCGACGTCTTCGGCGATTCTATCGAGAAATCAAACTAGCCAAGCTTCCCTCTACTCGTGACGCCTGTGGAGAATGACATTGTTCGCAGTCGTTGGTCAGTCGATGATCGGAGGACAGCGTTGTTCCAAGAAATCCAACTGGCAGGTCGCGTGTACCTCGCTTCGCCAGAAACCGTTTGACCCTCGTAGAAAATGCAGGGCACGGTACGTGCTCCCACGAGCAGTCGATAATTAGAGAACAGTTTGATCGTTCCGTCGTTTACTGTTTGCAATCCATCGATCAGACGAGCAAACAACGACTCTTAGCTTTAGGTGCTACTTCTGGTCGGTAGAAAGTGAAATGTACTCGAGCCAATGTGATCAAAGTATGTAGTAAAAGCGGAATCGAAGGATATCCGTCGTCCGCGACTACCCTCCGACGACTTCCCGGCGAAAACCGTGCGGAAGTTCGGTGTTCAAAGTACCGGGATCGGTTTTCAATGTTTCATGGAAAGCGGGTATGTAAACTGTGTGTAATCCCGCGCAACACTGAACGACGTGGAAGAAGGTAGTAAATATTCCATAAAAGATTATGGCGGACGTTAACTCCGCTTCGTATCGCTTTATGAACAAGAGGATACAAAATCCTCGATGAACCAGTTTAGAGATACTTGGCAGACCCGTAACGCTTTAAAACCTTTCCGCTTATTCCCGTGGGATTGCATTTTCATTTATACGAGGGTACCGGGCAATTTTACCCGGCGGAACCGTGCCTCGACCGTAACGAAAGCAAAAAGAACGTTCCCGTTCGTCCCAAAGAAGTTCGAAGATTATAGATGAAATGAACCAGAGGATAATATCGAACGTTGCGCGCACAACGTTCTGAACGTTATGAAAGTGGTGATATCCGAGGATATTTGATATCCGCGTCCACCGAGCAGATACGCAAAGGTTATGCCGTCGTATATTGGCCTGTATAAAGGAATTCATTGTTCCTTTGGAACCCGTTCCTACGCGAATTCGCTTCTTCGCGGAGCACCGAGGATTTCCCAACGATTTCCCGCTTCGTAAGAATTCGACTTCGTTTAAGCCGCTTTTGCCGGGGGAATCGTGTCCGTTCGAAATAGTTGTGTAAAGCTGTCGCGGCCGATAGAGCGCGGGAACAGGTTCGATCGTTCATCCCCGTTAATCGATCCGCCAGCGCGAAATATTTCGCCGGTTATAAATGCCGTAATAAGTCGGATAATACGATTGCGGATGGAAATCCCGCGGAATTAGCATCGGGGTGATTTCGTGCACGGTTTCATCGACTTTTTTGTCATGGCTGCATACAGCGCGTCCGTGTTGCGCCCACGCGCACCTACGTGCCTGCATGTACGCTGAATGGAAACGTTAACTCGGGTCAGTTTCGTAGTATTGTATAATATGGCCGCGCCGGAGGGGGTCGATGACTGTATTCGCGTGTCAGTTCCTCGTGAGCAGGACATGCAATCTGTAGGCGTTCCCGATATAGATCGTCGTAGAAAAATCTCCGTGGCCCGATCCGCTCCTAAGATACCGTATTTAAGAATAGGCAGCGACAGTCCGGGATACGGCGGCGCGACGCGTCGCGATAGTCGCGACAACAGTCCAAGGGATCCCGGCTAATGGAAAACAATGGCGAATCCGTACCCTCGGAATGGATGTTCACTGTTCAAGGGACTGCGTTTCGCGGAGATGCTTTATCTATCGGGAATCCGGCTTCCTCCGAGGCCTTGTTCCTTCCTGATAAAATGATACCCGCGGGAAGATTCATGGGTTTTATCAGCCACGGGAAAATTAGATCCGTACACGGCGGAGGAGGCGGAATTTCAGAGAGATCTCGCGACCCTTCGGCCGGAAACGGTGAATTGTTTCGCGCGATGTCTCGCTGGAGATAATCAGTAGCTTTTTACCGAGGTGAAAAGTGAGCTTCCTTAAGCGCGACGCATGCGAAAGGCAGATTCAACTCGCCGGCCTATTTTTCAAGCACGAATCAAGCGGCCGCGGCAATGTGCTCGGCAGAGCAGATCGCGCTTACACGTAATATCAGAAGCTTTTGTCGGTCGCCTCCCATTTTCCGGAAAAGATTCGAACTCATCGATCGCCCGTACGGGTGCTCGCTGGCTCAAAGTTCATTTCGATTTCTTCCCTCCCTCTTGTCTCTTTCATTATCCCGCCGCTCCCTCCGAAACGGCTCCAGCCTCGCAATCTATTTCTTTTCGAATCAGTTTTCCCGCTCGAACGTGTTCGACGTACGGCGTACCCTTTGATGCCGACGCGGATAAAAAGCAGCGTGGCCTATTGCATCGCTCGCGAGTTTACGCGCTCAGAATGGTTTCTAGATTGCACCGGGCAAAAAGCGGAGAGCCGGGAACGCGGAACACATGGCGGTGTAGCGCGGGATGACGGCGGGCCGCGGAAACGATAATCGATCTAGAAAAAAGTGTCTGTGCCGCACGAAAATTGTCAGTGTCAGTGGGTTATCCGGGCAGCACGGCGTACAGACGGCGCGTGGTCACGAAGCAGGGTCCATATAATCGATACTCCACTACTTCGAGTACCTGACTCCGTAGGGAGGGATGGCGAAAAGGAGACGGATTCAGATAAAAAAAAGAGGCAGAAAGATTCGAGGGTTACCCATCGTTTTTACCCTCCTGTTTCGTTCCCGGCGCGTCTCTTTATCCCCAAGGAATGCCGGAATAATAAGAAGTCGTTCGCACGAACGACAGGAACATTAACGAGTTCCGTACCTTCGTACCTTCGTGCTTTTTTCCCGTCGCCGTACTCGATTTTTCTCTTTCACCGGGAAAGAAAGAAACACCCCGCCTTCCCAACTTCCCGCTGGATACGTATTTTTACCCCCTATAAACGCGTACTCCCGCGATGCGTGAAACATGGTATCCCCGGCGAAAGAACCTGATGTGAAAGCGTAACGAAATTTCAGTCCGCGGTCGGTTTCCTTGGTCATTTTACTTTTTACTCTTTCTCCGCCATTATTCCTTTAAAGTAGCACGGCTGTGCGCGAGTTACTGTCCGTTTAATTAAAGCTTTGAAAGGGCGCTTAAATGTTTCGGCCAGCGTTATATATCCGTGTGTGCCTGTGTGTCGCGATAACGCTTAAGGGTAACGGAATTCGTTGAAGCCGGTACTTGGTCACAAATTACTTAACAACGTTCCCGCCCCGAAGCATCTGTCCGGTATTTTTAACTTACCGTGGCGTGAAATAGATGCATAGGCCCGATTTATGAAAACCTTATACATTATTCAGGTGCATGCAAACGCGCGTGTATTTAGATTCGATGGAGGGAAGATTCATTGGCCCGTACAACGTAAACGATTTGCAAATGTGCGTTTGTTCATGGTGTTTCGAGCCGTGATCATCGACTACGAACGGTGTACCGAAATTTCCATAAACGAATCGTTCGTAACGAAAATTGACACTGGTATGGATCAACGCCGCGCGGCGATTCATCATTTCGCGTTTTGAAACGCTTATTTTTAGCCGGCAACATTGAATACGCCAACGCGTCAGCCTTTTGGCTGCGCTTCTAGGTCGCCGGAGGAATTGCTTTCAGGTTAAAGCTCTTCACAGACTAAAGAACTTATTACATCTTTGTGCAAACAGCGTCATCTTCCCAGACAAGAATTCCCTCTCATCGAGCTACCCGCGGCGTTCAATGTCCCTAATAATTCTTTCGAATCGGCCCGTTCCCGCAACAGCGGCGTATAGCCTCGCTTCGCTCGATTCCACGAATCGATCACCGTTTACCGGCGACATGCATAACCCACGGATCAACTTGTAAATATCTATTACAAATATCATCGGTTAGAAAACGCGGCCACGTTCAGCGCCGGCCAGTGTCTCTGTCAACAGGAAATGAGCTGACCGAGATCGGTATTGTGGCAAATGTCCTGGTAACGTCGAACGAACGTCTGTTATTCCGCGTTAGATACCGGACCTGACTCGACCTAACCCGACCCGACGCGACCCGGTCCGGCCGTGTTCCCCAGTGGTGCCAGGTGCGATGGCCGAACGGTATAACGACGCGAATCGCTGCCGCATTGCCGATGTCGTGCCTGCCGTAACTACGGTACGCGGGGTACGTGTACCCTCGTGCACCCACGCCGCCGACCTCTGACTCTCTCAAGGGGTGGACGACTTATCGACCTGGTGCAAGTCAGGCCTACCACCTTTATCTCATCGGTACTCGAATCGCGAAATCTGGTACGCGACTACTCGATCCCGCCGTTTCTTTCCCTCGAGCGCATTAGCCGAAGATCGATTCCGAAATAGGCTAGGCGACCGACGAAGAATCTCGCGCGAGGTTGTCGCGTTCGAACCGTCTTCCACCGGGAACTCTGAAAATCATTTTCGTCGATGTCGGGGTTCACCGTATCCAGTCGGGTATCGAAAGATTCCCAATGTGCATTTTACTCTTTAGCCTGCGCCCCCAAGAGCGGGGAGTACCTTAGCAGTGTTCGACGAGTGCCCCTTGTCCTTCTAGGTCGTCTGGTAGAGTGTTTGCGAATCAGGCCACGACCCCGCTGCCATCGTCGCGCGAACCACGGCTCTGTGCTAGTGGCTGCGAGGCGAAATTAGAACGTTGCATTCGTGAGGGTCGTCGCTGTCTCGCCCTGTGCCGGGCCATCAATAGGAATAATACGAGGAACCATGCGATGCAACCTATGCAGCTCCGGCATAGGTAGACGCGGGTGTAACGACCTTACACCCTCGCAGGTAGCGGGATCGATGGGCTCCAACTCCGGGCAACCTCTCATCTACACCGCGCCGTGGGCTGACTGCCTCAACCGCGTTGCCTACCTGTCTACCTGCAGGCTGGCTTGTCCCACTTTTCTATCGTGTTCTACTACTACCGAGTAGTCGTGCATTGGTTTGCGCCTTACAATCGCTATTCTCAGGCACGACGACCGAACTTGTAGACTTAAATACGATAGTTTCGTTTTTACACGCGCGACGATGACCGTGCAGCTGGTTGTTTATAAATAACGCTGATGCGCGACGCGTGATTACGATAGAACCGGTCGTTAAAAAATCGACGATTGACTTTGATACTTTGATCCGTTATGGATGCAGAGCGAGGATTTGGTTAGTTAATGGGAATCGATTCGTTTGAGTATTGTGATTTTTTATTTTATTTTTCATTCGCCTGTCTAGCGTGAAATATTACGCTGGCACTGTTTCACGTCGTTTGCGTATCATCGCGATGAACGCTTCGTTAGAAAGATCAACGAGCATTTACTTTGAGACGAGGGCATTGGTGTTCGATGATCATAGAGTATACTAGGAGTCACATTATTTTGAGGATGCGTTTATTTAAATGCACTGCACATGTATAATTAAACGTCGGTCTAAAAAATGTCTATAAAAATTCATCCCTATGAATTTTCTCCTATAAAATGTGGCGCGCGATCGCGGGTTTTCCTTGCCCCCGATTCGCCACGCGCGCCGATAAAATTGCCCACGTTTTTTTTTATTTGCTTTGAAAACATATCCTTTTATTTTCTGGTAAGAAACGCTTAAAATTCGAAGTACGCAGTACGAGAAATTTTAAAAAGAGAAACCGACGAACGCAGTGTCCGCGTCGTATCGATAGATCACGCGCGATCTCCTTAAATACAGCAGATAAAATTTAACGAAACAAAATTCTTATCTCTGAACAATTAACACTAGACAGCTATTGCTAAGAACAGTATCCGGAACCACCTTATTTCGATTCTACCGCGCCTTTCGCGCTACCGATCCCGGAACTCACCGCGCGAATTTGATTGACCGATTTCCCCTTAGAACTGGATCCCCATTTAAAACAGTTATTATCGCTCTACCCTTTCTCGATACCAATACTGGCAGTTTTCTGTTGCGCCGATTGCTTATCTCGATTAAGTATAAGTTTCACAGTCTCGGAGGGCTTGGTGCTCTTTTGTACTTGTCTCGCGTATGTCCCGTTCTTCCGTTTCGCAGCCACCTCTCCCGTTCGTCCGACGCTTTCGCTCTAGCTCAATCGGGTTAAGTACTTACGCATCCTCATGCCGCGAATACTGGAATCCGACCTGGAAAATGAGGTAAACGAAAATCACGATTAACAATGCTGTTCTCGTACCCCGCCGTTGTAAGCGTAAAAGTACCTAAAGAACTGCTGTGAGACGACGTTATTGAATCGCACTGTTTTCTTCAAGCTGGAACAGTCAGATTCAGAGCTTATGTCGACTGAATCGTAACTACATTCGATAGGCGACGTGGACAGTCCATTCTCGTCGGTGCTAGATTCGTATAACGTACGTGAGAAATCGTGAGTTCGCCGAAACTTTAATATACCTTTCGCGCTAGGCGGACTATTACTTGTCATGTCCTCCCCGCTGCTCTCTGAAATAGATCTAGCTTTCCTGACGACGTGACGACGTTGCGCAGACTTTTTATTTTGTTTCCCGACCACGCTATGTTCATTGGAACCAAATTGATTCGAGCTAATTTTAATAACGACGCCATCTTCTTCTGCCTTCACCTCAACCGTTCGTTCTTTTTCCGATTCGACGTTCTCCACCATCTGCAACCGACGTAAAATCAATGTAAAACAATCGTTGATCGTTGCAAAAGCATGGGTAACGTACCGTCAATCCCTTCAGCTGGTTCTCGAAAGCTGTCGCGGTAGAAAAATCCTTCTGATCCATAGATCCCTCGTGTATACCGACGTAATAACTCGCCAAGTTCTCGGTGTTCCTCAACGTCACGGTCAATACGACGTTGTCATCCGACGTTTCGAAAACGGGGGATTCGGGATCCACGGAGTCCTCGCGAATTTTTAAACAAAACGAATAGTGATGCAGATGAAACCCTGTGTCTACAGACGATAACTTAACGTGCACACCTAAGTTACTCGGCAGAACCCTATGCCGAACCGAATTCGGATCCACTCGTTTTACATTTAAAATGATGATTAACCGACTATCGTATATGTTACAAGTAAACGCTGGCAACGAATATTTAACGCTAGGGTCTAGAAAGAAATCTGCGTTCTCCGTAGTAGTCCGTAGCGCCGAATCAAAACACTCTTCTAGGTGTACACTCGTTTTCTCTGTTTCCTCGGTTGAAAACACCACTTCGCATTCTTCGATCAACTTCTTCGCGGAGTCGCGCGAGCCACTTTGATCGGGAGAATCCTCGGCAGAATCTTTGTGCAACAATGGTATAGGACTGTCATGATCACTGTCAACAGCGCGGTGTTGACTGGCATCTAAAGCAGATACCACGAATGGAATGACTGGCAAAGTTACAACAAGCTTCTTGGTCTTTGGATCAAATTTGCTGTTGCCTCCGCCTGCGTTAACGCGATAGGGCAACGGAAGGTCCAATAAATACTTCGCGGGCTTCTCGCTCTTGAGACTCAGTGTACGTTCCTGCACGTCCAAAGAAGCATCGGCGGCAGTTCTCAATAGTGGCAGATATATAGTGACAATCAAACTTTTGGGCACGGCGGCGTTTATGTCCGCATCTTCGATCATTCCAAAATCGTCCAGTTCCACGTCGGAGTGATATTTAATAGAGAACTCGGGTATCCCGTATTTATTCGACTCCGAACTCGAATCCTGCTTATTCTGGCAGTACGCGGCGAGAGAAGAAGTGTGCTTTCGCTTCTTCCTGTACCGCCTGGACTGCTGCTTCCTCTTGTCATCGTAGTCGGCGATCTGCTTCGGCTGATTTTCTGGTTCCTTCCTCGGTACATCTTCTTCCTGCGATAAATACAGAGGAATGTTAAGAATAATTTAATCACTGGAAATCACTGCTCGACGTACCGTCAATCCCTTCAGTTGATTTTTGAACGCTGCAGCGGTAGGGAAATCTTTCTGCTCCATACATTTTTCATCTACACCGACGTGATACCACGCCAGGTTCTCAGTGTTTCTCAGCGCTACCTTGAACACGACGTTGTTGTCTGCTGGCTCGAAACTCAGAGATTCAGGAACTACGGAATCCTTCCGTATCGTTAAACAAAGCGAATAGTGCTGCGAAAGACACGCTGCGTCTACAGACGTTAACTTAACGTGTATACCTAAGTTATTTTGCAAAACCCTATGGTGAATGGAACTCGGATCCAAGTTCGTCGCGGTTACAGTGATGGCTAGTCGACTATCGTATATATTACAGGTAAACGCTGGCAACAAATACTTAATGCTAGGGTCTAGAAAGGCATCTGCGATTTCTATACTAGTCCGTATCGCCGTGTCACCGAACTTTTCTAGGTGTTCACTTTTCTTCTCCGTCCCCGGCGTCGCGTATCCTACCTCGTACTCTTCGATTAGCTTCTTCATAGGATCACGCGAATGACTTTGATCGTGACAGGCCTCGGTAGTGTCTTTGCGCAGCAGTGGTATAGGGCTGCTGTGCTCACTGTCAGTACCAAGGTCCTGTCTGGTATCTACAGTAGATACCATGTGTGGAATGACTGGCAAAGTTACAACAAGCTTCTTGCTCTTTAGATCAAATTTGGTATTGCTCCTGTCTGGATCAATGCGACAGGGCAACGAAAGGTCCAACGAATACTTCGCTGGCTTCTCGCTCTTGAGATTCAAGGAACGTTCCTGCAGGTCCAAAGTAGCATCGGTGGCAGTCCTCAGTAAGGGCAGATCTACAGTGACGGTCAACTTTTTAGGCAGCGTACCATTCGACTTCGTTTCTTTGTTAGATCTAGATTCTTCCAGCTCCATGTCGGACTCGTGTTTAATGGAGAATTTCGGCGTCATGTACTTATTGTTCGGATCCTGTTTGTTCTGGCAGTACAGAGTCAGCGAAGAGGTACGCTTCCGTTTCTTCTTGTACCGCTTCGACGGTTGCTTCCTCTTGTCATCGTAGTCGACGACTTGCTTCCGCTGAATTTCTGGCTCCTTCTCCGGTTCGTTCTCTTCTGTTGCCTGCAACCGAAACGGATAAACGTAAAGCGATCTTTAATCGTTGGAAATGAATTTGCCAACGTACCGTCAATTCTTCCAGCTGATTCTTGAAAGCCGTCGCGGTAGGGAAATCTTTCTGCTCCATGAACTCTTCGTCCGTGCCGACGTAATATTGCGCCAAGTTCTCCGTGTTTGTTAACGTTACTTTGAAGACGACGTTGTCGTCCGTTGGTTCGGAAACGAGAGATTCGGGGTCTACCGCGTCCTCGCGTATTTTTAAACAAAGCGAATAGTGCTGTGGGAAAAATCCTGCACCTATAGAGGTTAATTTAACGTGTATACCTAAATTGCTTAACAGAATCCGATGGCAAATGGAATTCGGATCCACGTTTTTTACGTTTACAGTGATGGCTAGTTGATTATCGCATATATTACAGGTGAACGCTGGCAGTGTGTACTTAATACTAGGATCTAGAAACGTCTCTAAGTTCTCTATGCTACTAGTCCGTAGTGCTGTGTCACTACAATCTTCTACGCGTTCACTTCTCTTCTCCGAAATAGTGCACACGTCCTCGTACACTTCGACCAATTTTTTCATCGAGTCATTCGACCGATCGAGATCCGGGCAATCCTCGGCGGAATCTTCGGGCGACAATGGCTCAGGACTGTCATGAACACAGTCGATAGCAAGGTCCTCCCTGGCATCTAAAGCAGATACCACCGGTGGAATGACTGGCAACGTTACAACAAGCTTCTTGTACTTCGGATCAAATTTAGCATTGCCACTGTCCGGGTCGACATGGTAGGGCAATGGGAGCTCCAATAAATACTTTGCTGGCTTCTCACTGTTCAGGCTCAGAGAACGTTCCTGTACGTCTAAAGTAGCGTCCGCGGCGGTTCTCAACAGCGGCAGATCTATAGAGATAATCAACCTTTTCGGTACAGTAGCATTCATCTTTGCATCTTTGCTGATCCTGAAGTCTTCCAGCTCTATGTCGGACTGATGTTTAATTGAGAATTTCGGAGTCACGTATTCGTTGTTTGGGTCTGAATTTGAGTCCTGTTTGTCCTTGTAGTACGTGGTAGGTGGAGAAGGACGACTTGGTTTCTTTTTAAACCTCTTGGACTGTTGCTCCCTTTTCTCGTCGTAGTCGGACATCAGTTTCTGGTAAATTTCCGGCTCCATGTCCAGTTGTTCTTTCACTGGTTCCTTGGATGGTTTCCTGATCACAGAAGGTTGACAGATTCCTTTGTAATTCATCTTCGGAAATTTGAGGTTCTTTCTATCGAGTTTCACCTGGAAAACGGAGAAACGAATGAGTTAAGACGATCGAATCGGTGAAAAATGCGAGCTGTCTTACCTGAAAGTTGCTTTCCACGCCGTCCATGGCTGTGTCATTGACAACATCCCGAAAGTGCGCGTTTTTCGAGGCCAGGTAGATCGTGTCCGGATGGAAGACTACGTCGACGACCATGCAACGTACATTTTTCTTGTCAAGGTCATCCCGAGGCGGTGTGAGCAGGTAGGGGATGTACCATTCCAAACCATGATGACCTTGCTCGTACAGAGGCTGACTGCTCGGTCGCGAGAGGATGTCACTCTTGCTGATGTTCAGGAAACATTTTCTATCTCCGTTCACACTGGTTTTAATGACATAACCGGGCTCCGGATTAACGAACACAACGTCGACGCCCCGTTCTTTTTCTAACTGCGTGATCTCTTTTTCGTAGAGCTTCCTATTTTCCGGATCGGTCACTTCTTTCGCGTACTCGATCAACAATTTACGGAATTCCTCCTTTTTCAGGCACTCCTTCAATGTCTTGATCTCTTCCTTGGTCACCTCTAAATCTTCCCAATCTTTTCTACGTGTTTCATACGCGTCCATCTTACGAAATGATGTCGCGTGTTTGCAAATAAACTCGTAGGTAGAAAGATCGCGAAGCTCCTATACTAACAGGGATGGCTGCGCCAACTACGCCGGCCGGTCGAACGACGGTCAAACGCGGAACTTACAAACGCCTAATGGCGTGGACGCCATTTCTCTCTTATCAGGTGATCCCGTTTACCAACGATCCCAGAGGTCCCCCGAACCCGAAATTCCCTCTAAGATCTCCCGTTCCCTCCTTGTCGATAAGAGAAGAACTCGAGCGTCGATCATGCGCCTAAACGTTAACCTTAAAAACATGTTCAACGTCCTCGTGGACATAGCTGAAATGCCATTCAACCGATGTATCTATATTGAATCTAAATTATCGGAACAGCGAAGGTCAATGGGAACATCGGTCTGCGAAGTGGAATCATCGTTCGCGTCTCGAATCTCGAATCTCGCTTCCTTTCACCGTACTTGACTCGATATTCCACGGAGAATGTTTTGCGTAAGAGTACGTCGTTTGTCGATGGTTTAATAATACAATCGATAAACGTATAAGGGTAATTATCTAATGCAAGCCGGTGATTCAGCCGAATTGTTGCCGAGGCTCGCGTATTCCCTGGTGAAACCTGCCTGCGCCTTACATGTACGACAGGAATAATTTATCGACATTTCGAACGAACGAACGAACGGAACTCTCGGCGTAATTAGTCGAAAACCGTTTCTGAGTCACAATTGGGCAAATGTGGAGTGGAAAAGCCGAGTTTCCCTTTTCGCGAGATCTACGGTTGGTGGGAGACGAGGTGAAGATGTGGGGATCAAGCGGTACGAAGTCTCTGACCCACTGACATTCTCCTCAGTTTCTTAGTAGACACAAACGCCGATAATTCGTGACTGGGAAGTTCGATGTTGCCGATCAGGATCACTGGTCGAATATTTCTGAAAAGGAAAGGATAGCCGCCGCGTAGACAGGATCTACCGAGTCCCGCGCTGACATGCGTATAAACCGAGGATTTCTGACCAGTGTCGCTGTCTGCTCAACGGTTATTTTCGTTGTCCTCAAGTTGCGATTTACCGTAGAATTCGATCCGAGGGACGACACAGAGAAACGCTCGACCAGAGAGCAAGAAATCAATAAAGGCCAGGTGAATTGCATCCATTTAATTTAGCTGCGAGCCGAATTCGACGTTACGTTTATAAGTGACCGAAAGGAGTTCGAGTAGATCGATTAGAACGTTCGAATTTTTTATCAAATAATATTCCCGGCGATCTCGCGTTCTCCAGCGCGGTGCACTCCCAGCAGAATTTTTTCGAACAAAGAGCACCGATCGAGTTCGGAGCGTGTCTCTCGGTGCAGTGAAAGTTTCACAGTGTAGGAGGATGTAATTGCTGGAAAGTGATCTTTTCCTTCTGCGACTGGAAAATTAAGTAGTTCGCGGGAGTCGCCTGTCATAATCGAATTGGAAAGCTTTCGGTTCGCACGCGGCATTGATCGTACCTACGTTTAACCGTGGCTACAGTAACGTAACGATTATCTTTAGCATGATTTATTACGCAGACGTATCGATATGTTACGCCTTCTCTCGCGGAACTGGGTCCTCGTCGAAGTTTCCCTAAGATGAACAGACACGTTCTGATGTTGACACGCGTACCCGACGCCGGAGCTGAACTGTTAGTGCTGATTTTCCAGCGGCTACAAGGATATAACGCTTTCAAGCATATAAGGTTGCCACCTGGCGATCATGGGCTTCTGTCGTCTTTGCAAGAGGTAATCCACCCGGTAACATCGCGAGAACGTTGTTCCGCGTTTCTTTGCCATTGTCGTCCCATCGTCGCCCCATCGTCGCACGATAGTATCTAGAACGCTGCGTGTGAATCGTCTGCGAGTCGAATGATTGCGAAATCATCGAGGAATCACACGGACGTTGTTCCTGACAAGCGGTAGCCTTTGATAATCGCGAAATAACAAAGTTACCTTCGCGCTTTGGCATCGATTGAGCGGCGAACGGTAACGCTGGAAACATGAATCAGCAGTTGATTCATTGATCGCATAAATCTGCGGGAAGTTTAATCACACGACATGGTCGTTGCACTTTACGTTCACGTCAAACTCGGTTTTCGGTGTTGCAATCGAAGTTGCACCGATCCCCCCTCAGCGTGCGAGCGGCAGGCAACGAGAATTCATATATGGAACATATCTGGCTGATCCGTTGAAAAGTGAGCGAAATACGCGGCTAAAGTCAATATCAAAAGGTTTAATGTATTTGGAGTACGGCAATCCATCATCCGGACACTTTATGCCGTGTGTATAGATCGCTTCTGTTGAATTGCAGCTTCATATATTGCGGCGAGCACCGGTTACCGAGCGTTTCAGTGAAATCAATCAAATTAATATCAATTCCAATCGCATAACTCTACCGATTCGGGCTCTGTCAGAATTTTTCGGGCATTCCGTTGTTTCGCAGGAGCTGCTAGTGGAAGAGATTACGAATATAATCAGACAGGAGGCGGTCCCTTTGAGTTTCGACGGGGACGTTAGGTTTTTAAATTTCTCGAAATATGGCCGACAGCCTCCGTCGTTCATTTCTCTAGTGAGAAATCCTCTGAACGTACGGAACTTGCAGAGGTAAAGGACGTCTGGCGCTATCGCGATGCTTCATTGTCGAGAAATTAATTGCGTGCCTTTTCAGTTACAGATACCGCGAAAGGAGAAAAATGGGACTCGAAAGTAGAGCCATACCGTCGTTCTGCGGGCAAGATCCACGATGCGCGTGAGTATCGTACTTACACACGTACAGTTTACCATTTGTGTATCAGTAGAGAAATGACGGGGAATCAGGTACGTATCGACGCTACCTCGTTCTTTTATCTCTCTGTATCGAGGAACGTGTAATTTATAGAGAGATAAACAACAAATGGGCATTGCGACGAGCTAAAGCGAATATAATCGAATGGTACCCAGTCGTCGGTATATTAGATTGCATGGAGCAATCGATAAGCGTATTGGAACAGAAGTTTCCATACTTTTTCCGCGGCGTTAGGCAAATTTATAAAAAGATTCGTAAGTAAATAGAAAATAGATACAATTTCCGGTGTGTTACGTCTAGTTGGCGTACCGAGGACATTGTTTCACCACTAATTATTGTGGTCTCCACTGTTCAGGGTCCAAAAAGAAGCACATCTCCGATATGTCGCTTTCACTGGTACCACGGGAAAGGGATAACTTTTTGAAACACTTCGGAGACGAGATAGAATTGTATCGGTGGTTGAAATTTCGCCTATTCAACGAAACGTTAAAGAACGTTGTAGAAACTTGACCCGTACAAAGCGGAAGGTTACCATGTCCGTCTGTCGCCTAGTTACAAATCGTACCAAAGATAATTTTCTATTGAATATTTTCCGGTAATTTATTTACCGATGGGAGAACGATTGCTTCTTTGTATAATATAGAACATCTTTACGAAGGATTCTACTACGCTCTAGTGTGCGGTTAACGGTACACGTGGTGCCATCTTTGAGCGAACGATGGCGAATGGGTAAGCGATCGTTAAAATGAAAATCAATGTTCTTATGTATACGAATAAACATGGAAAGAGAAAACACGTAGAGATATTCAAGAACACTTTTACTTTTCCATTGTTCACACTTTCCTTTGCTTACGCTGGTTGTCCACGAATACAAAAGCAGGACGCTAGCTAGTTTTACGAAGCCACCACAATTTATTTACACCTAAGACGTTTTGAAGCGTGATATTTCAGCGATTCGGGATCATCGTCGTAAAAGCGACATTTTGCTTTCTAGCTTTAGCGAATAGTAATAGTCACCGATATACCGATACGATAGAGGGCCGCGATTAACTATTCGAGTCGTGTAAATAAAGGCCTCCAGTGTCCGCCGAGTATTAAAATACGCTGGTATTTATTTGATTATCGTGCGTTGCCATAAAATTGTTGCAATCGTGATCAATAATTGGGGGGGAGGGGGGAGTTCTATCGGTTCTACGATAACTGTAGAAAAAACTGTTAAGGGGTATCCAAAAAGGTTTTCGGCCGTTTCACGCGCATGTCGCGTGTGCAACAGAACATGAGTATCATGTTGATGTAGAAATGCACGAGCAACAACATGAGCAACGCGTGCCATCACTTTTTCTTCGCGTCTTTCAACCCCGCGCCAGCGTTAAACTTGAAGAAAATAATGTCTCCGTCATCGACCACGTAATTCCGTCCCTGCTGCCTGTATTTTCCAGCAGCCTATCGCAGAAGGAAAGAATGAAAATGTCGGAAATACGAATAATTACGGGGCGTTCGAATAATCGTTACCTTGACCGCAGCTTCCGAGCCTTCGTTCTTGAAGTCCTCGAACTTCATTACTTCGGCCATAATGAATCCCTTCTCGAAGTCTGTGTGAATTCGGCCCGCTGCCTGCGGAGCCTTCGTGCCTTTCTGCAATGAATAACGATTATGATACGGCGAACAAAGAACCGTGAAATCCTCTCCCGGCGAATCGGAATACCGGTACTAAGGAAATTACCTGAATCGTCCATGCTTTGACTTCGTCGTGCCCCACCGTGAAGAAGTATTGCAACTGCAACGCTTTGTATCCCTGCACGATGATTTTGTCAAGCGCGCTGAAAACGTTACGCAAAATGAAAGTACGCGCGTGCTCGGCATAACACGCGAGCTTAATACGACACTCTATACAGCGATTCTCGGTAAGCAAAAAGTGGGTGAACGTAATTCCCGGCCGCGCGGGAAGAACAAAAGTCCGGACGTTCCGCAATTTATATAACTGTAGAAAGGATGTTCGTTCTGCGATATAAAAGCCAACTAATCACGA